TATTCACATTTAATGCATATGTGTACTTTGACAAATATTTTTACTATGAAACATCTGTTTATATTAGAAAGAGCTTTACAATTTCTTACCCGTCTTGGGGAATTCCAGGAAAATAAATGACCTCAAATAAGTATTTTGGATGGAGTCTCTCATACAAACACATATGCAACATATTCAAATGACACTATTGATTGCACAGACAGAAAGCTGCCCGTGCAATTTTTTTCTTTTTACTTACAGACACAAATTTCACAAACATTAATTTTTTTATCTGCTTTGAATGATGTGCTCACTGGATAGATTCCCGAAGCAAGTATAGCAGCTTTGATAGGACTGTAAGTTTAGTTTCTTGGCTGTTGAGTCTCACATGTTGGGTGACATATTAACCAAAAGTGTCCTCTGTATTGTGCAGGGTAATGCTTTTTTTACACAAGGGGCTACAAGACAGCTAAATAGACCCAGTCTGAAAGGTCAGTGTCTTCCTGAGTCAGATTTACACCTATTTCCTGAGTGATAGTAGACCTGCTGGTGGGCAAAGAACCATTGTAGTTACATGATAGTCATTGTTTAACTGCCGGGTAATGGGGAGTTATTGTTAACCGTTTATGTCTCTTCCTTGTGATGTCACTGCTCCTGGAAATGCCTTTGCATTATAAATTGGACAATGTATTGTCACTAACCTGTTTTCTATATGTCTACATCACAGGTTTTCTTCATGTATATACACAAAGTGGGAGTTAGTGGAAGGCATTGCTGACAGTAGGTATCTGGATTTTTTGTTTAATTTAGGCTACAGCCTCAACCTAATGGAAAGGCTTCACAGTCCCTGCATGCCATAAAACCTGTTTTTCTATTTTTTTCTTGACATCCGGAAGTTCTGACTGATTCTGGTCTCCAGTTAAAACAGGTTTGGCAGGCATGGAGTGCTGTACCTTAATGAATACACAGTACGTCAAAAGACAACTTTGGGCTCAACGTCTTCATTTTTTTCAGATTCTCATCACATTTCTGAGGCACTGGTGGGATTGTTCTCATCATTTGTTTTGTAGATGTTGAATATCTTTAAGAGAGCAGCTCACCGCGTACTAAAAGTAAGATCTGCTCTTCTACGCAGCTGTTGGGACAGTGAAACTTGCGAAAGAGACATTATTATTATTATCCAGAAGTAACAGTCACCTTTCATTTAAAACAGGTGTTAACACATTTTGATGAAAGGGATAAGAGAAAAAAAATGACTATTTTGTGTAAAATGTAGAATCATGTTTGTGCTGGAATGCAACTAAGCTCCACACAAAGAGTCCAATCAAGGGAAATAAATGGTTTATTAAAACAGTGTTTTGCTGTTTTGTCAAATTGTGTACTGTTTCCTGATTATAAGGAATGGTGCAAAATCAACCATGTTAAGTAATAATGCTTGGCACACTATGCACATGCAACATTATGGTTTCATCATGGATTTCTCCAGTTATGCAAACCAAGACAAAAGCGTGACTGTCCACCATGAGTCTGAAATAAACCAAATGTTTGTATATGTAGGAAAATAAAGAAAACAAACCAAAATTAAATCATAAATACTGTATTTAAAACCTTACGCTTTGGATATCGAAGAACATTCATGAACCTGTGAGATGTTCAGTATTGTATCGTAAAATTGTGTCAAATTTACATAATTAAATACCACCAAATCTATGTGGACTTATAGGTCTGCTTGGGTTGTGGGAATACTGTTTGTCTTTAAAAACTAACTGGAGCCATAAACGTCTACTAGCAACTTAACTAACTAGTAGAGGGAATAGAGCACATGTCTTTGGACAACTGTTAAACCTTAAGTACATACTGTATCTTCTCACATTTTTTCTTATAATCCCATTGCCTTCCTGAAAAACATAAGTTCCTGATCTTTTTCGTACTTCCAATAGTAAAATAGTTTCTGCAACAAATATCAGTTTGGATAGAGAACTGATTCTGTTGAAAAAAGTGCCAAATGGGATTATTTTCTGAGAGCTTCTATTCATTTGATCTGTCACTTAAAGTACAAATGCACAAATCTTCTTTTTGACTGCTGCTTTCACTAACAAAAGTCCATGGCATAAAAAAAAACATAAAAATAAACTTTTGTATGCTTTTATATCATGTTACACGATGGCCAGCTAAATCCGGCCGTTGTCTGGTATTTGTTTGTGACATTTGAAAAATCTGAAATATTCTATGACTTAAGAGGTGGTTTAAGCCTCGAATCACGAAATCCCCACTTTGACGTCTTTTGAGGGTGTCAACAGCTGGAACTGCTGGCACTTCCTCTTTGCCCCCTCTGAAAGCGTCTGTTGTGCAGGTAGTACATAAAGAGCCGTGAGTTCCACACTCCACAGTTGCTGAGCCATGGACAAAGGTGGACTCCTGCTCCTGCTGACCCTGGAGCTTCTCCTGCTCTCCGCAGCCTTCACCTCAACTGGCCAGGCTGCTCTTGTGGCGAAAGATCAGCAACGACGGCCTGCTGAGGTAAGAATCAGCGAAGAGGTTTTTGTTTAAGTTTACAGCACAAGGAAACATCACGAGCACCAGTGACGCATTTGTCTTGACTTAGTTACAGAATGCAAGAGAACAAGAAGAGGGGACTATTCCAGTCTGGAGACTCTGTTCCATTAAACGAGGAGGATGCAGTCCTTTCATAGCGGTAGGTTTGCTTTACTCTAAACTTATTTGTTAGTTTTACATGCGTGTTTAATCTCTAAATTGTGCATTTCTACATGTAAACAAGCAGTCGCTTAACTCCTCCTTCTCCTTCTTCTGTTTAGAAACCGACAGAAAAACCACCCAAGAAAGAAGCTGTGCATTTTTAAGGGGAACTGAAGGAGCAGATTCACGCGTGCACATGCACATCAGAAGTTCAAACAAGTTTTTTTTGGGGGGGAAACAGCTTTGCATTGCTTAAAATCACAAACGAATATAAACCTGTCAATTTTTTGCCCTGCTTGTAATCTGCTGATTATTGTCAGAAAATAAAAGAACATTTAAATGCTTTCATTGGTATTTTCACCCACCTTGAAAAGGCCACACATCAACACTGAACATCTGAATAGGCTATTTTTTCCCAGGCTTACAAAACTCGACTGCTTTTCTGATTTTCTTCTAATCCTTTTTGATCAGAAAAAAAAACCTTCACTTTAAAAACAAACTTATTTTAAATAAAATCTTCTAAACTGTTAAAAACTATTAGACTAAACTTCTCCTATAGCATGTAACAGTTCTGTTCAGTCAGAATCAAACTGAAATTATACTAAAAATGTGTATTTATTGATCAAAGCAGGTTAACAATCTCATTATTTGTTTGTTGTTGCAAATCCAAGCAGAAAAAAATCTTGGACTTCTCCAAAAACTAATCTCAACTCATTTATACATTTTGTGGACGGTTTTCTCAGTGGCCAACTCAAAGACATTTGGGTAAGCTGCTCATCATTATGCGAAAAAAGTCAGGTGACTAGGACCCAAAGCAGAACGGCAAACTGGAGGCTGACAGAAATGTGACTTGAAATGTAATTAAGGAAACAAAAACCTGAACTAAGCTGAAGAGTCATTAGCTATCAGACAGGTTTCAGAAAAATACCCAAAGATACTACATAGCAGGAAACAAACATTAAAATACTTCTAAAGAAGTGTTGTGGCTTCCTGGTAAACCATGCTTATTTTTCTCTTGAAAAGGAAAGACTAGACTAGATTAAGTTGTGAATTCTCTTAATTAGCTTAAATCCACAAGGCGTGTAAATCAAACAAGACTTGTGAAATAATTCAATTCTACTTCCAATCTCCAATGTTTTTGTCAACAATACTTTTTCATATAAATTAATGATAATTCTATTGCATAAGTTTGCAATGTGACACCAAGATGGAGGCTGTCTAGTTTCATTTTGTTGCGACACATTTATAATCCGCACACTGTGCACGCTTGAGTAAAAGCAATGTAATAACTTTTGCCAGAAAGCTTGTAAGAAGTCTGAATAAGCAATGAATTGCGTAGATGTGCAGATTATTGTTGATTTGGACTGAAATCGTTCCATATCACAGTTAAGTTTAAGTTTAAGAGCGTAGAAGAGCAATAGGCTTTTGACACATCATTTTTACAAAACCCACATAACTTTGGAATATTCAGCAAAGGAACTTCATCTTTCCACAGAAAAAACCTAAAGGACTCTGAACTGCTGAAGTTTTACACGAGGGGATTTTCCAACTGTGAGCTGAGCATAAATGTGCCTCACAAGCTGCGACATGCAGCTAAATATTTACAGAAAACATCGGGGAGGGATTCCAAAATTGGGAAAGAGATTTATATTTGCAGTCAACATGATGGTAACAATTAGATGTTGGGCTGCAGATGTATTATTGCTCAACTCTTCTGAACTCCCTCCTCCGAATGGAAGTGATTTACTAACGGGGGGGTGTATAAAAACCCGGGAGGGTTTGAGCTGTCGCACTTTTTGGTTCATCATGGACAGAACTGTGCTGCTGTTCCTACTGGCCGTGCAGGTTTTCCTGATCATCACGGCCCTCCGCTCTGCAGACGCGGCTGCTCTGCCTGCCGATGAGCATCAGCAACAACTGCAGACTCTGCATCCGGTAAAAATCTCCACGCTCAATCTCAGTCGTGTGCTAATGTCTACTGTTTGTTGCGGAGCTCTGCAGATTACATGTGCGTCCGAATCTTAAGTCACGTGCTCTTTTTAAAGCAAGTGGAACTATGGTTACAGTAAGGTTAAGGGTCCCAGTCTGAAGGGCCATGTAAAGTTTACCTAATGAATGTCAGAAAAGGGAAAACATTCATTTTCTTAATCACATCTTGAAGGAAATTAAGTAGTCGTAAAAACAGGAAAATAGGAACATTTCACAAAAAAATTGTAGTACTTGGGAAACAGTACAGATTACTTTGACTGCGAAGTGAACTGAACTTTGATGTGATTACTGTGAGCAAACAAAGTTATCTCTTTTTTTTGCGGTTATCAAGGAAAAAGTCCAGGTCCAGAGAATGAGGATAACAGCCGACAAACAAAGACTACCCCACTGTGCCTTCTTTATCGGAGGATGTTCACTAGTTGGCAAGGTAAGAACTGAATCTGAAGGTTTACATTACCAATATTCTTAGAAACTGTTTTAAACACTTAAGTGAATTGTTTTGTTTGTTTTTTTTTTGCTCTGTTACAGGTTGACTTTGATGGCAATCTAAAACCAAAAGTAAATAAACTAAGTATTATAGAATAACATTCTGGACTCAGAGGATGGGTCAAATCAAGGCACTTTATGCAGGTGGAAATTATGACTGACACCTTTTCTCTCTGTTTACAGCCAACAAAAGCAAAGCCCCTACGAGAAATCAAACGGTGAAAGAATGTGAATATTTTTGTAACCGATTCTGCAAAAGGGCTCGGCTGTGCTCCCGGCGGTGGGAGTGCCATATGAATCATTCTCAGATATATTATTTTGCCAAGTGGAGGATGGACCAATAGGAGGAGAACTAGAATCACCAAAAGCACAGACCAAGACAAAAACTATTCCTAAATACTCTCTGTACCTGTTGTTTTATTATGGGAAGATGTGTTACTTGTATTAAGCTACATTTATATAAATGGTCCATAATCCTCCTAATGCCTTTGTAACAAAAATGAAATAAAATAAAAATATACATTCATCAGAAATTAACTGTTGTCACAGTTTATTTTGTTTGTCTAAGCCTTTGCCTGAAATAACAGGACTGGTGTAATGTGGGCTGAGGCCTAAAACAGACACTGATAACTGGAGTTTGTTCCTGCTGATTTTAAAAGCTTTGGGAACAAATCTGATAACATTTAATGATCATAATCATTCCCAGTCACCGCAGTGGCTCCCCACTCCAACCACACTCTTTTGATTCCTGTTATGGAAGTCTTAAAATGTGTACGGATGTGATTGCTGAGGAGTTTCATTTCAATGTGTCTAAAATTGTCAGAGTAAAGAATCTATTGTTTAATTTAACACACAGCGACAGCAGGACAAATGAATGAATAAAGTAGACTCTCTATGTTTAGTTTTAAACAACGTACCGAGGCTGTGAATAAATAATTCATGCTTTTAAGTCCTGGAGGGCCCTATAATATAACAAGGAAGCTTTTTTAGGTCATTAGTAAGCAAAAACATTAGACTGAATGTAACCTTTCCTTTGTTATGTAGAGTTTAACACAACAATGTAAATATCTTCTAACTGTCTTCTAAATCTTCTAATTACCTGGACTAATTGAAAATAGATCATATCCCTGATGTGCGTAGACAAAATTACACAATAACACCACACAAATACGAACAAGCAATCAGAGAACCTGTGAGGCAATTTTGGTTTTAAGCATTAGATTAATGTTTGTTGCACTTTTTCCTGGGGTCTATGTCAGCAGAGGTTTGTCTTTGTTTCAGTTGGTGATCTGATAAAAACGAAAAAGATGTCAGAAAACTTCGTAAAATCTGGAGAAACAGCTTCACTTTAATAAACCTATGTTAAAGTAAAATATACATTTCTTTATACAAAAGAGAAATGACAGCATGAAGTTGTTGTTGGTTTTTGACTGGATCAGTATCACCCATATTCACAAACACATTTTAGTTTGACCCATTTTGTATCATTGAATCTAATGTTAACACATTTACTTCAGACTTGAGATTTTTTCTAAATGGAACATTAATTCAGAAGTTGCAGAGAAAATCTACAATTTGGCTTCAGATTACTTTTTTTCTATATTTTACAACATGAAAATATATCACTCTAAATGTTTTTTTAAAAAGGGGGTAGTGATTGTTATTCTGGCTTGTTTAGTTTTTTGCTTTTTTCAAAAAAACGTTAAGTTAGTTTGTATTATGGCAAGAGAGAGGGAGCGGCTCTTCTCCTGGCTGTTTTCAGTGCAAACATTACACCGCATTTTCTATTGCTGAGGTATCTTTGAGCAAGCCTTTTAGAGCAAAGTTGCACGGCAACAAGTTGTTTGTTAAGCTTAAATCCAGGGAATTAAAGCAGTGGGGCTTTCTATGAAAGGGCTGTGTTTCATGTCTCTCCGTTTGTGCCAAAATTCCCTGAGACATGACAGTCCAGGTTTGAATATATAGGCTATATATATATATTGAATATAAGTGGCCTTTATAAATGGAAATGTGCCCATCTAAGCACGCATTACTGACAGTAAAGCAAGACAGATTATGTAAGGAAATATGACGTAATCGGCACTTACCACACTGTACAGCATTTCCAGTCATACAGGCCAGCAGACTGTGGCAACAAGCTGCCTTTTTTTAGAACAGTTTTTTTTTTTTCATAGTGAGAAAAGTCTGGGAACCCCATCTGTACCACTAGATGTCACTGCGTTCAACCAGCTGCACCAGTTTGTTATTCAAGCAACCAGTCAGGTTTTTATTTCTACACTTCCAGAAGTTCACTCTGACTACTATTACACACCTCGACCTCTTAGAATCATCCCCTCCAATCCATCCTGCTCAAACAGCCATCTTGTTCTCAGTCGCACCAGTGGGGAGCATCCTGTCAGGTTTGGGCATGATAAAAAAACAAATGTTGCAATGTGTGACAAGAAGAGGAAGGTTTGATCTTGATCTTGATGAATGATTTGTGATTGGCTGAAGGTGTGACACAAAAGTTGAGTCAGGAGTGCAGCTTCTGAGAACACAGTGCAAATGGAAAAACGAGAGTAATTCAAAAGCCACAAAATTAAGACTAAAACCGCATGAACGTAATAAAAATCCATTCTTTAATTAAAACAAGACGACAAAATGTAAACAAGACTCGAGACAAAATTTCATCCGAAGTCCGAAACATTCTGTCTCATCATCTTTAGCTATTCGTTTTTTTTATTTTGCAGAAACTAAAGGGCTTATGGGATGGAGTTGACACCCCGCGGGCTCTAAACAGCGTTGAGTGGCATCACCACCTGACTGACTCTTTCATAAAATTTAAATAAAACTCTGAATGTGAAATATCAAAGGGGGGGCTCACTAAATGTGTGGTTTGGCTGTGAAGAGCGGTGGTTCATGGAACGGAGCCAGATGAGCTGCAGACCATTTCAAATCAGGCTAATCATCTCCTCACATGCAATGTTGGTCTGAGGCTCAGGAAAACAATATACAGCAAACAATATTTAATTTGCATTCATTTATGTAACGACAAATAATAGAAATCCTCATCAAACGGCCCTTAAAATATAAAGCCCATTTGGTTCATAATACTGTCGTTATCCAATCCAATTCATTAGTGTTGAAATGAGGCCATTATATACAGCGGCAAATAAACAAAATATTTTACTTCCGAAGGAAAGCAGCAGATTAAATCAAAACACAAACTAAAATGCGACAAACTTTGTGAGGACACATATCCAAATTTGTGAAACATTTGTACACATTTGTACGGTAAAACTTCCAAGGAAGTCTGTGCAGAGCCGAGGAAGATCCCATGATGACATCTGCGAAAATAAGTGTTATCAACTTCTGGCCAAAAGGAGTATGTATGGTGTGTTTCACCTCAACTCACTGTTATGATAGCGGATGCCCATAGTGCTGATTCAAGGCTGAACTATGTGGTGTGGCAGCCAGCCAATCCAAGCACTGGGATAGACACGCTTATTTAGATTATGAATGTCTAAAGGAAAGAGGAGAAGGTTTTAAAGGAAGAATGCGGTTTGGTTGACCTTTTACGGACGTGCACACCCATTTTGCAACATGTAAATATGTGCTTTTCCAAACAATCTTCAGATTTGAGTTGTTCTTTTTCCTCAGAGCCCAGAAGAGAAGCAAAAGAGAGGAGAATGTTCCTCTAAAGACACATTGTTTCTTCTCCTGATATAGATGGTGTAAAATGATCCTGAAAGACAATCTGTCGCATGCCTCAAAGTTTCAGCAGCACAGTTATAATCACTCTGGGACGTTGAAGACCTGATACAGAACAGAAAAGATCTATCCAAACGTTCTTCACAAGTCTAAAAATGGTGCCCTCCAGGACTGGAGATTAAGATCCCAGCTGCGAACATTTCTGCTTTGTGGATTCACATTCAAAAACCAAAATGTCTTTCTTCAGTAAACATTCCACACAAATGGTTTAATGTGACCAGGCCCACTTGACCAGTCTCCCCTGACCAGTGAGTCATCTTATCTGGAAATGAACTCCCCCTTAAACTGGCCTGCGGTAATGAATAAACAGGAACTGGGGTTTCTGACTTAATAACAGTCAAATCCTTTGTTTTTTAAACTATTTTTCTAATTTGATCAACGTGTGTGTGTTGCATAATTAACTAAGAGGTGTGGCATTTGTTAGCAGTTTCAGAATTAAACATGTGGGAGGCACACACTGTGAGAAGCACATCTGGTGAGCATTTATCCACCCTCTAGTAAAAAAAAATGTTTTACACAAACAAATCATGCACGGCTCTGCATTACAGTACCATAAAACCTATTTGCGCAGCATGTTTTGAAATCCTACCCCTTTTAAAGTTGCTGGAGTTGTGTACTCAGAAACAGCGGGTGTTTTACTGCAGACAGAAAAAGTCAGAGCCTGCAGTTTTGTTTACGGTTTGAGTGCTGCCACATGAAATGATGGTTCGTTGATTTTAAGGACGCCGAATTAGTAGTGACTGCAAAGTAAACCTCCACAAAGTTAATGAATGTTAGACTCAACTCAGTGTGCTCTCCCCAGAGCTCTCTGTTTATTATTCCTGTCAGGGAAAAACAACCAGCCTCTCAGAAAAATTGCAAGCATTCACATGTTGCTGGGTGTGAAATATCTGGAGATTTATTATTGGAGAAAAAAATACGCTAAATTCTGCCACTTCTATGTTGCTCTGTGGGCAATGATCAGTTACAGCTGACCATTGTAACTGTATTTACAGCTGTATTTCCTGCAGAGAAGTTGTGCTTTAGCTAGCTGTTTTTCTTTCTCCAGACGCCACCATTATGTAGTGTCAGAGGGCTGATTTTTAGTCAAAATTCTGAACATATGTAAGACTTATTTAGCAATGACATGCAGGAGAGAATTATCCCAAAACACCTATATGAGTTTGTGGTCATACTTTGAGAAACTCCATTTTATGCAATGCATAATTTACAACTTTACATGTACTATAAGTATTTTGTCACAACACAACAATAATTGAGTCCCTGACTCTTGTAAATGTGCGTAACATCGGGGTGAAAACTTTTTTTTCTTCCTAGAGTTGACTTGTATGCATGTATCTATCTAAGTTAGAATTAAGCTTTAAAAAGAGGAGCGTTTTTTTGTTCTACAGGTGACAAGTGACATTTTTTTCTGCTAAAATTGAAAAAAAAAAATGTAAAGCCATATTGTTTTCTCCCTTGTGTGGAGTTCATGACTTCATTTTTTTTTCTTTTTTATATCATTGAAATTTTGTGGCGTTATAAATACAGCGCTGATTCTTTGACATCCTTTCAGACAAACTCCGCCCACTCGTGCTGCGCCGGTGCATAATCCAGCCTCCTTCTCACCGGGGAACAGTGGAGTCGAAGCGGAGGCTGCCAAAGGAGACGGGCGGAGACGCGGTGAGTGTCCATTAAACTGATAAACCTGGACTTAAACCCACACATTTATGTCTGCAACTGTTTGCTGCGGCTCAGTTTGTCTCTAGCCGTGGCGATGGAATATTTTGTTGTAAATAAGACATTTTCAAATTTTGATCAAACTATTGTAAAATGTAGGCATTGATTGATAATCATTGCAATCGGCATTGACATTGTTTTTATTAATGAATAAATGTTTGCAGATTTACGGTCTTCAATTACTTGAGACTGAAGTCTCATAATATAGCTTGAAAGGTGGGAATTTTTTTTAAATGCATAAAGAAAATCGTTAAATGATGGTCCCTTTGTATGAAAACAAAATGCAAAAAATCTATCTATCTATCTATCTATCTATCTATCTATCTATCTATCTATC